ACTCGTAGTTTTGTTATTGTTCGCAAGATATTCGTGCTTCTCTCTCTCTCTCTATATATATATATACCCTAAGTATGAAAACTTCTGAAAGCTTCGCGAATATTTTAGAAGATTAAAAAAACGCAAAAACTTTCTTGCTTACTCAATATTAATCGTTACAACACAAAAAAAAAGATTGTAATAAAACTCCACTCTTCAAATTTTTAACTTCTGAAACAAATTGGAAACTCAGTGAACTACTATTTTGTCAGGAGAAAGATGAGGTTTATTCAATGATTTCTTTAATAATAAATTAGCAAGAGCACAATGTGAAAAATTCTTTTTTTATAAAGACGACAAAATATATTGAATGTTTTGATTTTCATTGACACAAATGAATACTCATCGAAATAACTTGCTATTTCAATACAAATTCTTGTAGACATTTAAGAATAGTACCGGAGTAGATGTAAAAAAATATAAAGTGTTCATACACTATCTAAGTATTTTTAATACGTTCTTCAATAATATTTGTTAATAGTTCATCGACAGCATTCTCTAGTTGAATTATCCCAATGATCAGATTAGAATCTTTATTTTTAAAGTTACTGAGCCAGTATAGAAACTTATCAAACAGAAAATTTGTAATTAAAAAGAATTTTAAAACAACAAATATATACTCAGAAATACGATCGATGAAACATGGAAAGATCTATTAATAAATCCTATTCAAGTATGTATTTAAACAAAGCTATGAGCACAATTCCTATGGGAATAAAATGCAAAACTCGATGTTGCTGTTGTTACTAATCACAGAGATTGTTTTCTTCCATCTATTTTGACACACATTTCTTCAGCAACATTTTACCTAGTCCTCCAGAACTACAAGATGTTATTCACATACTACCTGCCATCATATATCAACAACATCTACGAAAGAGAAGAGCGGACACGGATAAGTGTAAATTTCTACGCTATATACTTCAATACTTCTTTTAGATCATGTTTCACAAAAACTCAAATAATATATTGATACTTTGTATTTAACTGCCCTTATATTCATTTCGTTTCAAAAACATTAATTTTTTTTCCTCAAATATTTTTATTACACAATGAAAAAAAAATGTGCATACACAATACGTCAACGATCTATTCGTTTCGGTTTCTTTTTTTTTCTGCTTTCATCAACTGTTGAATATAATATCAAGACAAGAGAAAGATGATTAAAGTAAATGTTACGTAAAGAATTAATAGACAACAACAACAATAAAGAACGAAAAAGACAGAGAAGTCAATTAGAATAAACAAAGAAAAAACAAGCATACACAAAAAAAAAGGGAAAAAGCCATGAATTTATTGTTGTTTTTTTTCCTGTTTATTAATAGATACATATAAGATACACACACGCACACAGAGACTTGGAAAAAACCGAAGTGAAAACCAACTTCTTCGAAGTTTATTTTCAAAATTTTAAATTAATTATCTCCAGGTGATCGTGATCGACTACCACGACGAGCTCCACTGCTATTGCCAGCACCACCACCACCATTTCGTTTACCATAACTTGGTGAGTTCGATTTCGAATGTGAACGACTACCAGCTCTTTAAAAAAAACCAAAAAATAAAATAAAATAAATTTAAAAAAAAAAAATTTAATCGTCTCAGAGATCTTAGTGGATAGTTATATCGTCATTCCTCTTTATTAATGAAGTCGAGAGTAGCAACTATATGTCATCATCATCGACGATTATATTATTTTTTACTTTAAACTTACCGTCTTGGTATCGGTGAACGTGAATATGGTGACCGAGATCGACTACCACCACCTCGACGTCGATCTCTACTTACTGGTGAAACACTTCGTTGACGACGATCACGACTAAAAAATAATTATTTATATAGAGAAATTATAATGTCAAACGAATAATTTACCTTCGTGATCGATCACGTCGACCAAGATCACCACCTCGTCCACCATAACGTGCTTCTTTTTCTCGAGCTCTCATTTCCGACGGTGCTAAATGAACAAAAAAAATTTTTTGTTTTTCATTGAAATTTTAAAATATTAACAAACTTACTTTTACGATCACCTCGTGCAAATTCAACTTCAAGTTCTCGACCGTATAATCGATAACGATCAAGAGCATGAAGAGCTTCTTCTACAAAAACAAAAAAAAAAATAGTTTCAAATATATACATATAAACTATTTACCTGCATCACGACTTTCTTCATATTCAACAAAACCAAAACCTTTAGCATCACGTGTATAATAATCCAATGGAAGTGTTATATCAACAATACGTCCATATCGTCCAAAGATTTTCTTCAAATCGTCATAACTAAATAAAATATAAAGTTAATCATTGAAGCCATTTTTTTGCTTTATTGATAGATTTGAACCAATGATGAGTGCACACATATACCAAAATTGCACATCACTTTCGTGGAATGAGTGTTTTCTTTTGCTTAAACTATACAATTTTGATGCATTGGCTCTCAAAATGAAACTCTTTTGAATATTGAAATCCATATCGTATCAAATTTTGTTACATATAACTCAATGTTAATATTTGTATTCTCTAGAGAACTAGGGTGTTAAATTGGAATTGATTTATATCCATAGAATTGTATACGGATTCTTTTTTTTTTGGTTGACTGTTAAGAGATAGATGAAATTTTCATTCGAAATTGCACTCAATCTCTCTTGTCGTTACTAATTGATCCTAGTTTACATTAGACGTCAGTCATCTATGACGCATGTTCATTTTATATTTGTCACGCAACATTGATTTCTTTATATTGTTTGACTAAGTCGAAGAGAAAAAAAAAGAAATTTTTGTTTTAAACTTAATAAAGGCACGGAAAAGCTATGATATGATGCATACGTCTACTGGTTGTATTTTGTTTTGAATTTCTGCTGATGTGCTGTCTGGTATATCATCACCACTTTGAACTGAAACGAATCTCCTATATGGAATCAATTGAAACTTGTCTGTATTTTGTATTTGTATGGGAATTTTCTTTTTTAAAAATCTGTTTTCTTTTTTTTGAAATTGCTTGATTAATTAGTTAGATTTTTGGTGTAGTCATATTGCTTGAATATTATTGAATAAAAAGAATAGGACTGAATGTGTATGTGTGTATGTATGTGATTTAGATTTTTTGTTTGATCACGTTTGTAACACACCTTATGAAAGAGAAAAGAAAATAAATGAAAAAATAAAAAGAAAACACAAAGCCATGCGTTTAGCTTAGTTCTATCGGGAATTTAATTTTTTTGTGAATTTTCACAAGAAACAAAAAAGAAAAATATTGAATTTAAGAAAAAAAAACACAAAAAAACAACGAGAACAAAACCTAAAAGAAAAACTTACCGAACTCTTTCTGCAAGTCCACGAACATAAAGTGATGCACTAAGATTTCGTGAATGTCGGCTAGACATATCGTAATGTTGCAGGTAATTTCAATAAAATGAATAAATAACTAATAGCAAACACACACAACAGAAACAGTAGAAGGAAGAGAAAGAAAGAAAGAATTATTGTTTTTTTCTTCTTATTTGACCTCTAAATGCATAAATGCTTTATATTTTATCTTTATTTTTATTGGTTAAATTTTTTTTTGTATAGTCCGATTCGATATGTTTCTATTTCTCTGTCTATGAAAGTTTAACTATGTCGAAATCAATTGTCAAGAAAGCATTAGAAATAATTGATGATGATGATGATGATAATCAATACATCAAATCCAAATCCAAATTAAACTCAATGAAAAAGAAAAAGAAGAAAAATTTATTAATAAATAATGATAAATCAATTTTTCAAGATAGGAAACAATTGATACAAACATGTGTAACATTAAAAAAAATATCCAAACCAGTTGTATCATCGGATCAAATTGAACAATTAAATAATTATCGTTTTGGTGGTCCATCTAAACAAGTTTTACAACAGAAAAAGAAAAAAGAAAAAGAAGAAAATATTTTTACTGAAGAAGATTTTAAACGTTTTGAAAGAGAATATAATCCACCATTACAAAAATCATAAATTGTTGTTTTTTTTTTTGTTTTTAGATTTTATTTTCATTAGCTAATCGTATCTAGTCAAATATGGAAAGTAAGTAAATCATACACACATATATATTTAATTATTTAATAATAATTTAATTCTAGCACCAAAACGAACAATAACTATGTGTGATACATCATCAACTTTAGCTGAATCATCTGGTGGTCTTGCATTTGAAGTAAAATTAGCTGAATCACCACGTTATGGAACTAGTCAACCACCAATTCATTTTCTATCACCAAGTACAAAAAATAATCAAAATGATTTAACTACACCATTAACACCGGAAAGTATAACGGAAAAATTAAAACGTGCTGAAGAACGTCGACTTAGTCTTGAACAACTTCGTGCTACATTACTTGCAGCAGAAAATAATCGACCAATTGAAATTATTAAAATAAAAGATCAACAAACTGAAGGTACACAAAGAGACAAAATAAATAAATGAAATTGAATTTTTCTATTTTTTTGTTTTGTATTAGAATTTAAAAAACAAACAGAAGAAAAATTACACAAAAAACTTGAATCAGCTAAAGAAAATCGTGAACGTGTTTTACAAGCTAAAGTCGATAAAGCTAAAGCACCAATTGAAAAAGGTCTTGCTACTGTTCATCAAAATTTAGCTAAACTCGAAGAAGAACGACAATTATTACAAGAAAAAATCAATCAAAAATTAAATACAGCTGAAACAAGTAAAGAAAATTCTTTTATTTTCTTTTTTTTGTATTCAATTATTATTTTTTGTTTTAAAGATCGACAAGAACAATTAGATCGTTTAATGGAAAAATTAAATGAACATGATAAAAAAATTGAAGCTATTAAAAGTCAAACAAAATCTGATACAAATACAAATGAAGATACGGAATAAATCAAAACGAAAATTTAGAGAATATATACTTGTCTTCTTCTTCTTATCCCTGTGATTTTTTTCTCGTACTCAAATATTCTTCAACTCAGGTATTCTTTCGTCTTAACATATATTGTAATAACTCATGTCTGATATTTCTTATCTTGTACAATAAAACACTTTTTTTCTCTTATTCATATTTCTCGTTCATTCAAACAAAAAAAAAAGTATGACATCTTCGTGCAAAGTTTTAAAAGCATTCCTGGCAAAGCACATCAAAGGGCACAATAGAAGACTTTGTGCTGATGAAAATTGACTAAAAAAAAAAATCTTGATTAAGCAACATTTTATTGATGTGACCATGAAAGTAATTCATATTTGGAATCGGTCGGTCGAAATTCATGATTTAACCAGCAAAAACCATTGCCTTTAATATTTTAATTAACTAATCAATTCTTTCGAGAAACAGTCTATTATTTCAGTTCTAGGAAGATGAACAATGTAACACTTATATAACTCTGAGAGTTTCTAATAGGAACAACTTCAGTCTGAGTCTGTGACGTTTCATTCAGTAACTAACATCTACACCATACTTTGGCTGACTTTTTTCGATAATGATATGATTTCTTTACAATTGATAAGTTTGATCTATTCTTATTTGAAACAATTATTTAACGCAGTTGATAGGTATCTCCATTCGTAGAAGAACACTATTGTCGATAGAAACATGGTACGGTTTTTACATTAGACTTTCTACTTTAAGATTTATTAATATCTAAATACTGTCAGAGTTGCATGATGCTAATAGTTGGCAAAATCTTGACAGTAGAATGGAATCTTTTCTGATATTTTATAATGAAGGCATGAGCGGATCTTTACTAGTTATAGAGATTTTACGAGAGCTAGTTAAAAGGAGTCCACAAAAGTGCCTTCGAAATTTCGAGGTGAAAAATCTGAAGTTGAGATCGAAATTAACTTCTAGTACATGGTTAAATTTTCGTGAGCACAATAAATTCGTTTAGCATCATTCGAGGCTCACGTTGTACGAGGAGAAAGTGTTAGCTTAATATATAGAGCTAGAGTTTTGACGATGACTAGAAACTCATGCTCAGTTGGAGACTTCCAGGCTCATATCTCTTGGTTACTAAAACCATGAAAATCGTTAAAAAGGAGCAAAATCGGCCACCTTTAGTGCCTTAAAGAGTCAATAAAAAAAAATCAGCAAATCGACGGATTCGGTTGCAAGTACGAAGCAATTGAACTGCTATATCAAAAACATGTGTCGTTTGTCCTTGAATATATCCATAAAGAATGTCTGGTCAAATACTGTTTGCTTTGACCCTCCCTCGAGGTGCAACAAATCTAAAGTCTTGGGAGTTGCTATCATTTGGTTCTGGTTTGGTCTCAAATGACCCGAACTGCAAAGGATTTGGTGAGATAAGATACTGTCAATTATGCAACCTTCTTGGTCCTATAAATCCGCTATTATTCATACGACTAGAAAACAAAACAATTGGGGAATAAAAAATTGTATAATATATAATCAATTTGTTGTCTGGTCAGTTTTTAAATACTGACAATAACGAAGACTAAAACCTTTTAAAAATGTTTCTGTATCAATATGTTTTCTCCTAATTTATGCCATAAATGAGACAATGATTCTTTAACTATGGGAGTAGCTCTCCGACATTTTGATGGGACTGCTTTTGCTTCGTGTCTGTGTCGTTTATCTGTTACTAGTACTTAGTCATGTTTGAAGATATAAATACATCTATAAATATTAGGATGTGATTGTATGAATTTTTTACATCATCTATTATGACGTCCGTCCATATGATTTATAGTACGAGGAGTAATATTTTAGTAGTGATTAATACATGGCTGATGAAAATTTGCTGTCAGTGTTATACATTTTTTTGTGATATTTTAAAAAAGAGTCAATTTATTTTTCTGATATATATGTATATAAGTATTAATGCAAATCAAAATATGTCACATTCATTATATGCTCACAAAAATTAATACTACAGCGGATGACGCAGAATAAATTGTACTGTTGGTATTTTGAATAATTTCCCTCTATTATTCATTTAGTTAAAACATTTTTTTTAATCAAAAGATAGCGCTTGAAATTCTACACAAAATGATATATTTTATTTAACGAATAGTTTCCTATGTTGTTTCGGATAAAATATAATGTAATCATACAGTAAAATCAAGTACAGAATGTAAAGTATTTTTTTGTGAATTTTTTTGGCGGAACGTTTTATTTTGTCTATCAATGTTGCTTTTATTGTTATGAGGTTCCAATTCATAGTTTCGATTAGGTCATTCCATAGAGTATAATCTAACTAATTTAAATCAGGCAGATTCAGTGACTAATGATGCTTCGGTACGAATTCACGAAAATGGCCTGTACACTATTTTTCACTAAGGTAGCGCGTATGAGTCTTTAAAAAATCCCGCTAACATCTAGTTCGGAAGATTAGCTTGCTCTTTTTGTGCAGATCAGTCACAGTTGGTTGTTTGACTTCCTTTTATGAAAAAAAGTCAAGATCTTCATGTGATAGCAGCGATACGTGCTTTATTTCGATAGGTAACTTTCTTGTTGACATCTGTTTGTTGAATAGTAGACGTCATTTCACCTTTCAGATATTCACTTTTGTACAAACTGTGGGTGGATAGTCAGTAGGAGACGGTAACGTGATAGAGCCAGTGCTGTTGATCATTTTTATCCATAATTTCATTATTGGTAATGAAATCACTCCGGCCAAATCACAGTAAATTTTCGCCGATCCATTACTATTTTCATTTTTTTTACAGCTGTTTGAATGTCTTTACTTCTCATCTCTATTCAAATATATCAAAAACAACTTTTGAATCTAATCATATATAGTTTTGTAGAGAATTGTAAGCGCCATCTTTTGATAACACAAGACGTTTCGATTAAATGAAGAATGGAGGAGAAATATAAAAAGTACAAACTGTATAATTTAGTCTGCCCCACTTGTTAGACCTTTCTGAATAAGAAATACAAATATTTACTACTTTTGTTGAAAACATAATTAAATCCGATGCATCTGATCAAGGTTATATTCATTCATGTATTCGTGGCAGTTACAACAAAAATTTACTATTTTTTAACATCGGAGTAACTTATCGATTCTGTCCAAATAGAAACGTTTATCGTCGATGTAATATACTGTAGTGATCATGATAAATACGAAAAACTGTACATACACTCTTCATTGCAAAGACGTTGATTGTAACAATACTATCTTAGTTTGGAAAAAATGTACAAATAATTTCTTAAATTTTTTTTCTCATCTACAGTCTGCTGCAGACGGATTAATTGAACTTTGCTTCTTAAAACTGTTTACAAAAGACTAATTATTTTGCAATTATTTGCTCAAAATGTATGTATACTTTAAATATCACTTAGATCGTGGAATTTGCTTTCATTATCACTATCCCAACGGAATATAATTAAACATATATTGATCTTCTAAATTACATCAATTAATCTCA